GGTAGACTCTAGCCTTGAGTAGAAAAATTCAGGGACAGTGCACAGGCTCTGGGTTCAAAGCCATGACTGGCCATAACAAACCAACAAACAAACCTCTTATAAGGCTCTAAGCTAAATCTTCAGCACTGGAAAAAAAAAAAATTCTACTTGTCAGAAAATGAGAAGTGCAGTCACAGGTTTGAAGAAAATACCTACAAAACACATGGCCTGAAAGTACAGGAGACCTGTAGGTCGCAGGCGTTTTCCAAACTAAGCAGAGTAACAGAGATGAAAGCAGGACAAAAAGCTAAAGGATTTAAACCAGTGGATTTTTTTTTCTCCCCAGCTACCTAAGTGCCAGAGACAGAGACTGAGGTTGAGACCAGCCTGGACAAAATTTGGTGAGATCCTATCTCCAAAAAAAAAGCTAAACAAGGTAGATAATCCCAGCTATATGAAAGGCATAGGCAGGCAGATCACCGGCCCTGGCAAAACTGTAAGACCTTATGTGAAAAATAAAGCAAAATAATATGGCTTTAGAACCCAACAGGTACTCAAACAGTGGCTTAAGTCCTAAAGAATGTTTCTAGACAGGACAAAACCCTGAGTTCAAACCAAAGTATCATCCCCCCTCCACCCCACCCTCTCTCTCTCTCTCTCTCACACACACACACCAAAAAAATCCCAAACCTGTATTCATTACCTCTATGATTTAATCACGTAAGAGCTTCACAGCAAAAGCAAGCAACTTTTTTTTTGGGGGGGGTGGGGGTCTGGTCCTGGGGCCTGAATTCTGGGCCTGGGCGCTGTCCCTCAGCTCTTCCGCTCAAAGCTAGTGCTCTACCTCTTGAGCCACAGCGCCACTTCAGGCTTTTTTTCTTTTTGCTTATGTGGTGCTGGGGAATGGAACCCAGGGCCTCATGCATGAAAGACAAGCACTCTACCACTGAGCCACCTTCCCAGCCCCAGCAAGCAACTTCTGAAACTACTTTCTTCCCCAACCTGTGTTACCTTTCAACTTTGCAGGACAGATCACTTCCTTTGAGTATGGCTTCCATAGTTCAAAACATACTCAATAGCCTCTGCTTGCTTTGGATACACCTGACACACAAGTGTAACAAATATGATGTGAATTTCACTTTCTTACTTTACTATGTGTCTCGTTTTTGTTTGTTTGTTAAGACACATCTTACTATTACTCCAGGTTGGTCTTAAACTTGCAATCTTGCTGCCTCAGCTTTCCACATGCTACCAATGTGCCCAGTTTATTATCTCTTGTCTCAGAATCATCCCAAATTCCATTTAATGACAAAGTAAGCCTACATTTGCTTTGTTTTGTACAATAATCATAAACTGGCCCTAAGTCTCTTTCAATGCTTCCAAAGAGTTACCAATTCCAATCAAAGTGGTGTCTTACAGTCCCATGCGTTCATCACATAGACTTTCCCTTCGCTCCTTCACTTTAAAAGAGGATCATCTACTCTTAAAAAAAAAATCCATTCAAAGCCTTAACTCAAGGATGCCTCCTCTAACCATCTTAACAGGAGTCGAATCCCTGTATAAAGAATCTTGTGATATCATAGACCTTTTCTTAATCTTATGGTTTGATGTTTGTGCAACTATTGATTCATTACTGTAATACTCCCTTCCCCACTACCTACAGACTTTAGGTTCTATATGTCTTATTTTTGCTCTCAAGTATTTCCCCTAAAAGAGCATGCGCTCTGATACATAGTAGGCATTTGCTATAGACTTTGGATTACCAGGACTTATTTCCTCTCTGTACTTTATACCACCTCTACATCACACACTTTAGCAATCATGGCATTACCCATTATTTAACTTGGATTCAATTTCAGCTGCCCAATCACGGTAAGCTTTTCTGTAGTTCCCATAGCCACAGCCCAGGGCACACACAGACATCAATAAATACTTGATAGTCACTGTAATTACAGGCTAGAAGAATATCTCTGCATAATAGGAAGGCTTCATCATTATTCAAACTCCCAGTATCCTGCCTATCTAATGCCAACTGTCTACGGTAATAAAGCACATTTGTGCAAATAATATTGAACAATTATGCTGCAGATGGCTTACTCTATCCATATTCTCTTCTGCTTCCTAGGTCTGTAGCCAAATTATATTTCCTGATCTCTGTTTCAGTAAGGCTAGATCATGTAACTGAGTTTTACCTAGAGAAGTGAATGGATACAATACACATATTTTTGGGTCTGCTGCCTTCCCATCTTTTTCCCTCCCAATTCACTAGAATATAAGGTAACACAACAAAATTAAGACTTGAGAAACAAAAGACCTCCACTCACCTGGTCAAATCACTACTAAATAACCCCATGCTGCTGATCACATATATGGCATATATGTGATATGGCACACCGGAGGGAAACCAGGAGGAGGACACAGAACTAGAGGGAATCAGGGAAAAACATACAACAGTGGGACCATCAGCTGCACTGGACATTGATCAAAATGAACTAAGCAAAACTCAATGGCAGTGATGGGAGGAAGGGAATGAGTGGGAAAGAGGGAACAGCTGATACTATGCAAAAGAAAAGAAATGTACGTATCACCCGATGTGGAAGAAATAACTGTATTGTCAAAGCTCATAGAACTCATAAATTTTATAGACCATGATAGACAATTTGCCTCATGAAAGTTTGAATGTGTTTGTGACTTTAACTAAGCATCACTATCCCCCAATACTGTGAAATTTGGGAAATTATGCAATCACTTAATCACAACAAAGAATTTGCAAAAAAAAAAAAAAAAGTTTTGAGATAGTCTTAGCTCTATAATCTACCTGGCCTCAAACTCATATCTTCCTGCCTCAGCCTTCTGACCATAACATAATAATTTGATTCAAATGATAATACTGATAATATAAATATAAATCCAGTTTTCTTTTAAAACTGTTACTTAACAGTCAAAATGTGTATTTTCCTTCTCCCTCTGTGAACTTGTATTTGAATTCTATCTTTTCTAAAAATGTTAACATAATCCAGCATTTTTATGCTCAAAATTTTTCTACCATGTTTTCTAAAGCAAATAGGTATATAAATTGAACTTTTTAAAACATTTCCAAGGGCTAGGAAGTTGGCTCAGCGGTTGATTGCTAGCCTGGCATGCATGAGGCCTTGGGTTTAATTCCTCAGCACTACATAAGCAGAAAAAGCTGGAAGTGGCACTGTGGCTCAAGTGGTAGAGTTCTAGCCTTGAGCTGAAGAGCTGAGGGACAGCACCCAGGCCCAGAGTTCAGGACCCACCACCAAAAAAAATTAAAAAAATAAAATAATAACTTAAATTAAAATTTTTCATTTATATTGAGTTAATATAATTAACTAACATAACACAAATTATGACTATTGTAGCATAAAATGAGTTAAATAGAATGTATCTTATTTGATGAATGGAACTCATTTAAAAATTACGTCTATTTTTGTTATTAAATGTTGCTTCAGTAAAAGAGCATAAGACTACATTATACTGATCTCTATATAAACATTGTTCTTACAGACAAGCATCTATAAACAGAAGGAATTTTACTGTCATACATATTAATGTCAATTACTTTTCAGTTTTAAGCCAAAAGTCAGTGTTCTACCATCAAAAATGATTTTTCATTTCTCATATTTTCATTATGAGAACTCAAGAAGCTCACCTCCAAAAGAGTTAGACCCTATCTAAACTGCATGCGTAAGAATTTTTAGTAATCTGTAGTCATTCATTATCTAAGCGTATTAGAAACTTCTCAAATTACATCAAAGTAATAAAATTTAAAAATTTTATTGAAAAAACTAGAAGGCATCGAAACAAAACAAATAGAATAACACATCCATGTTCATGGTTTGGAAGGAAGAACCACTATTGTTAAAATGTCCATACTTATAAATAGAGAGAGAGAGAGACAGAGAGAGAAAGAGGTAAAGAGAGAGAGAGAGAGACAGCTCATACTACCCTATCAGAATACTAATGGCAAGGGTATGGGTTCAGAAAAATGGGAGAGAACAAATGAAGAGGTGCACTGATGAAGATGTATTATAAGCTGATTTGTCGAATTGAAACCCCTTTGTATACTGTTTAAAGAACACCAATGACACTTGTAGAATTATTTTTAAAGTCCTAAATTTATGTGGAAACACACACACAGACACACACACAACTGAACAGCCAAAGCAATCTTGAGGGAAAATAATAAAGCAGTAGGCATCACAACTGACTTCAAAACATACTAATCAAAACAGTATGGTATTGGCATAAAAACAGACATACACATACCAATGGACTAGAAGTACATCCACAAATCTGCAGCCAAGTGACCTTTGACAAAACTGTTCAGAACATGAATTGGAGGAAGAAATGTTTTCAATGGAAGTGTTGGGAAAAGTGTATATCCATATGCAGAACAATGAAGGTAGATCCCTATGTCTCATCAGTTACAAAACTCAACTCAAAACAAATCATCGCACATAAAAAAAACAAAAAAAAAAATTAAGACCTGAAACTATAAAACTACTAAAGGAAAAATGTTTTAGGACAATGGAATTAACAATATCCAAAAGCCCAAAGAACAAAATCAAAGTAGACAAATGTGATTAATTAAAAAGCTTCTACACAGCAAAGAAAACAACAATATAAAGTAGACTATAAAATGGAAAAAATAGTGGCAAACAATTACAAGGGGTAACCAGAGTCTTGTCCTACTAATCCTAGCTACACAGAAGGCTGAGATCTAAGGATCATGGTTCTCAGCCAGTCTAGGAAAAAAAAATGTGTGAGACTCTTATCTCCAATAAACTACTCTGAAAAGATCAAAAGTGGTGCTGTGGCTCAAGTGGTAGAACACTAGCCTTGAGCATAAGAAGCTCAGGGGCTGGGAATGTGGCTTAATGGTAGAGTCCTTGATAGCATGCATGAAGCCCTGAGTTTGACTCCTCAGTACCACATCAACAGAAAAGGCCAGAAGTGACACAGTGGCTCAAATGATAACAGTGCTAGCCTAGAGCAAAAGAAGCTCAGGGAAAGTACCCAGGTCCTAAGTTCAAGCTGGCAAAAAGGAAAAGAAAAAAAAAAGGTAAGTATGGTACATATTCTACTACCTTAAAATACAGCCAAAGTGAGGCTCCACAGCTGAGAACTATAAACTTCTTCATACTCTAAAGACAGCCTCCCCATCACGTATCTCCTACTTAAAAAAAAAAAAAAAGAAAAAAAGAAAAAGAAAAAGGAGGGGAAAAGGCTGTAGGACCTCAATT